GTATACCTTATGTAAAATATTATATTTATATAATATACAGACAATACAAGTTTAAATAATTTAAGACGTTGCAGTGTATATACCGAGCAAAAATGAACAAGCGCACATAATATTTATGAATACTAAAATACGTATGTAGGTACTGTAGCCTGTAGGGTGATTTTTTACAACTCGAATTTGTTATTATTCATTGATATATAATATCTTGCCAGCTAAATCGTTTTAAAAGTAGTACATTTTTTAAAACCCGAAAGATCGTTAAACATTAACAGTACAGTGTACCTACATGTATTTAGGTAGTAGTCAATTACTAGTTATAGATAGTAATATGTAGTGTCGTTGAATAATTGTGCAGTTTGATAAGTAATCGACCCAACCAAAGTACAATGAATACTCCTTCATGTCATACTATTATACTAATATGGAAGAAAATATTGTGGACTTGTGTGAAATACTTATTTGATGATATAGTCGTTCGTGTGGTATATGGCCTGAGCCCGAATATACTGGTATAGACTTCGGGATACGACAAATTTGAAATTGCAGATTCGTCAAGGCAGCGTGGCCCGTACCAAACCATTTCGTATTTAAAATGCACATAAACTGAAAAAAAAAAAATGTTTTCCTAAATATTATTTAAATGTTTAGACGTATCGACCGATATACGCCAAGTTCAAATGGAATCACCCCGTATTTTGCTCTCACTCGTACATAATGCAATATAAAATAAAATGTAATAGGTATTACACATTTGTGCGGGTTTTTTGTTAATTTTAATTAGAATGAACCCACCGGCGTCGCCGCCGCCGTTTATATATATATATATATATATATAATATTATGAACCTACTATACTTAAATAAAAGCTTAATACTCACCCCCTCGGCGCAGCCGATTGGCGCTGCCGCATATATATATATATATACACGCGCGAGAGGACCCATTGCACTGTGGACGCGGAAAAACGTTTCTCTCTTTCGCAGAAATGTAACGAGTAATTATCGACGGATTACGTGGGTACACCCCCACCGGAGTCAGATTAACCCTCTGCAACCAGGTCGCGTACATATACGTATATAGGTATATAGGTATATATATATATATTATATTGTATAACCGTTCCCCCTTGGCGCCCACTCCAAACAACACACCCTCCGCCTCCGCCGTTGAATGGCACTCGTCAAAATCCGGTGTAGTGCGCTCCTCGTCGTCTTCCCGCTCTTCCGCTCTCACTGTCGGCGCACAGCAAATCGGCTCTCGTTTAATTAATTTCGCCTTTTCGGTTTTCCACGCGCTAATGATTTCGAGTACACACAACACGCTCGCCGTACATAATAATAATAATATGGTCGTCGGCGCCGAAAGAGTTCGATTAAGACGGCGCGGCGGTAGACCGTGCCGGGGAAATGGACTCGCACTGCCTGCTGTATTTATAATATTATACAAACGCTCAGCCACAAGGACGAAACGCGATGAAATTCACCTCCGGGTCCTTACACACAGATTACTATATACTGTAGTATACTCTCCGTATTGTTTTTCATTTATCTATTCTTTCCCAACTGTTTCTGTTTATTCAAGACGAATGGGAACGCATTAGTACATAGGTGTATGCAACTAATGGTTAATATTCAAGTGATAATAAATAGTAATAATAATAGATATAAGATAGTTTGCATAGTTATAATATTATTTGCACGTACCGCACGTAGGAAACATTTGCAGGATGAATGTTGACACGAGCGGTTTTCACGAACCTCCAAAAGGTTTTCTGCGAAAGGAAAATAATAATATGACAATTAAGAATTTTTAATGCATTCCTTGTGATCGATAATATCAAAACCCACCTGCGCGATAATAACATAAATTATAAACCCTGCAAAAGTTAATCAAATATTTTTAGCTCTCCAGGTTTTACCTACTGTGCGGTTGCATCTGTTTACGTTATGTTTTTTAATCAATCACAATAAATTCAAAAACCATAAATTATACAATAATAATTATATTATATATATATATTATTTGTCTTATTTGTTTCGTAATTGTTTGTGCAGTAAAATGACGTTAGCGAAAATGGATCAGAGGTTCCAGTTGATCAGTCATCACAGGGATGACAAACAGACCGAACCACCAAGAGCGCTCAATCCGGTGATCAATAATTCTAAACCGAACAAAGTAAGCTCAGAAATTGTAAAAATAACACGAACACCAATTTTTTATTTCGTTCGATTATTGGTTTTTAAATTTTCGATAGAGTTGAACCTTATATATCTTGAATGTCGGTATAAACTATGCGTTTTAGAATGTTTTTTTGTTCATTACTCGCGAACGATTTGATTTATAATTATAAGCAAATCAACGCCTGAGATAGAGTTAAATAAAAATGTTTAATGGTTTTAATAGTTAACAATAACAAAACATTAATTGTATAATCGCGTGATGAAGTGGATTTATCAGGATAATTCTTTAGTGTTAAGGTTGTATATAGAACAAGAAGGCAAATAGTTTCTTTAGGGTTATTGTATTATATTTATTTAGAAGTCATCAAGTGGCGTGGATAAATAGTCAGAGGGAGCGTGGCGACCTTTTAATAGGGGAACTGTCGTTCCGGTCGGGAGGCTTACAAGTTTACGATGCGAGTAAATGACAATAGCTTTAGCCTTAAAAATAAAATAAAAAATGACAAAACGTTATTTTTATTTGTTTGCTTTAAACACTCAAAAGGCGAACTGAATCAACGAAATTAAATTTGCAAAGACGTCGTTCCGCTGACAGATATCGAACGGGTATTATTACCGATCAACTTGAAATAAACAAATAATTTAATTTATGTTTCGCCTTACGCAGCTCTAGTTATTATTCTGACCAAATTCTGCAGAGGTGTTATAGAATATAGACACACTGTAAAATTGTGTCAAGAAATAATTTGATTTTGTAAAATGCCGGAAACAATGAAATACAAACGCATTCGGATTTATATGTTTTTTTACCAGTAACTCGATTAACTCAAATAACTCGAATTTCTGCCGACTACGAGCCTGCCGTGAATTTAAAAACCAAAAATACCTATATAATATATGTATGTAGGGGTGGTCTGGTTATTTATGGCACAGGATGAAAAATTAATTAACGGCACGTATATTTTTTTTTAACTTACCAAAATCAGGAAAGAGTTTTATATAACACAATAAGAGTTAAATTTAAGAAAAGGCCAGATAGTGATAATCGGGGACCTGTTCATAAATACGAATGGGGCTAAAAAATACTTGATTTCAGCGATGTCCATTACTGCAAACACATGACACGATACCGCACAAAATGTATAACCCAATACCGCACACAAAATTAGTACTATACACTATACAGCACAAATTTATTATAACCTGAAATACAAATTGAAATATAAAACTATTACATAGAATTAAATTCAAATACCAATAAATCAAAATACACAATCCAAATTAAAAAACCAAAAATGTGTGTGTGTGTGTGTGTGTGTGTGAATATGTTACATCAAAATAATTCCACCATGCGACCCATTTTTCGTACCTCTGTCTCGTTTTCCACTGAGGAATCTTCGGGACACTAAAATGTTCCGTTTTCAGAAAGTAGACCAAGAATTAACAAAAATCAATAAAAAAAAAAAATTGTGAGGTGGCTGGAACTAAGAAATTACTAGAAATTACTTGGCTACAGTGAAACGAGATGGATTGCACAAACGCCTGCTATCTAAAGAATTTCGCAACTAGATGTACTACTGAAAGATTATTTCTTAAGCATGAAAAAGTGTTAAACAGTTATAAAGAATTTCTCCAAGTCTTCTAATTTGGAGTTTGTCAAAATTCTTAGTTATGGGCTTTTTTGTGGCATGTTAAAAATACACTACTAAATTTGTGTGCGGTAATGGGATATCCAGTATTTTAAAAACGGTGTGTGGTCTTGTCCTATGCGTATTTTCCACTTTTCTGCGGGCCGGCACCCTGATAACCCCTGGACCATTCCGGTCCTGTATATCTATATATATATATACCTATATATATAGCCAATATGTATTATGATATTAAATACATATATTAATTACAATACATTTTGATATAATTATATAATAGTCTAATCGTTTAATCTGGGTCATTGGGAGCATAAAATCATGTTAAATCATGAAAAACAACTACATTTACTTACAAATAGAGTAAACTTACAATTTATACTTTTAAAATCAAATAAAGTTGGGGGACTAACTTCACAAACATCATAAAATCAGTGTAATATATATATACGTACGGCGTACGCCAACGGTTCGGTAGACCGCGAATGCATAGGTACTAAGCGTCATAATATTAATAATACTATGACTGTGGCGCGGCGCGGCGCGAATGCGGGCAAAGCACCTGAGCAGGTTCTGTTTTGTCTGTCCAACCAGGTGGGCACGGTGATCCTGTACGGGGTGCCGATCGTCTCGCTGCAGATGGACAACCAGGAGCGGCTGTGCTTGGCCCAGATCAGCAACACCCTGCTGCACCGGTTCAGCTACAACGAGATCCACAACCGGCGCGTCGCGCTGGGCATCACGTGCGTGCAGTGCACGCCGGTGCAGCTAGAGATGCTGCGCCGGGCGGGCGCCATGCCGGTGTCGTCGCGCCGGTGCGGCATGATCACCAGGCGTGAAGCGGAGCGGCTGTGCAACTCGTTCCTGGGCGACAACACGCCACCCCGGCTGCCCGACGATTTTGCGTTCGCAGGTGCACCACGAGTGCGCATGGGGCTGCCGAGGCTCGTTCCTGCCGTCACGGTACAACTCGTCGCGGGCCAAGTGCATCCGCTGCGCTGTGTGCGGTCTGTTCTTCTCGCCCAACAAGTTCATATTCCACTCTCACCGCACCGGCGCCGGGGCCCGGTACGTGCAACCCGACGCTGCCAATTTCAACTCGTGGCGCCGGCATATGAAGCTCAGCGATGACCCACCCGACCATGTGGTGCACGCGTGGGAGGACGTCAAGGCCATGTTCAACGGTGGCACACGCAAACGGGCCGTGTCCAGGCCATCGCCGCCGTCACTCATGCAGCAACAGCACCAACAGCAACAGCCGTCATCCCAACCGTTGCTGCCACCGCCGTCGCACTCGCGACAGCAGTCGTCGGCTTCGTCGTCGCCGCCTTCGTCGTCTTCGTCGGCCGCAGCCGCCGCGGTAATCGTGCAAATGCCTCAGCCCGTGCTCCAGTCGGCGGGTCACCTGCACCACCATCAGCACCACCAACACCACCAACACCGGTCGCCGGAACTGCAGCAAAAGAAATCGGTGCCGGTTCCGCCGGTACAGGTGCCGTCCATGCCGCTACACCAGGCCATGGTCGATTACGTGTGGCAACAGCGGGCCAACCCGTTCGCCGTGGCCGCGGCCGCTGCAGCTGCGTATTCTGCGGGCGGCGGCTTGCCCTGTTGGCTGCCCAAACTCGAGCTGGACCCGCAACATCACAACGCCCTGGTCAACCGGAGCGCCGTCGCGGCCGATTATTCTTCCGCGTTCAGACCCGTGTACCCGGTTACCGTGGCCGCGGCTGCTGCTGCCGCCGCCGCAGTCGCCGCCGCTTCGGTCAAGTCGGGTGACGGCGATGATGACGACGGCAACGGTGACGAAGCCGGCGGTGGTTGTTGCGTGGACGACATGGACGACGATGACGACGACGACGACGACGACGAAGATGAAATAGACATCGAAACGTGTGCCGACGAAAGGAACACGTAGGTCCGTCAGACGGCTGTTTATTGATTTTTTGATTTATTTTTTTTATGAGTATTCATTATAGTTATATACAGTGTGTTTATTATGCGATATGTACGCGATATAATTAATTATCGACGAGTGCAGGTCTCGTCCAGTGGCGTTTAATTATTATAGTATGCAAATTGCAAGTGGGCGAATTTCAAAACCTAAAACCTGTTTTCGTTTTTTACCTCGCATCTCATACGTAATATCACCAGATAGGGTATCTTACAAAAAATCGTTAATCGTTATAATTTCGGAAAACTGCACGCCGTGCAAAAGGTAAGATTGATCATGATATAATATGGTCGCTTCGTGGCTATATACTATTGGGGGTGCAAAAACCTTGGTAGGCCGTAGGTTGGAGACCCCTGACGTAGATTATTTGCAGGGCCTAAAGTATTCTATTAATATATAGGTAGGACGTATATCATTGTTTATTTTTTAACGAAAGTTACGAACACGTATATTATGTTGTATGCACGATAGAAAGTGACTTGTCTCTTCTTGGACGCCATAATGTGTTAACCGTATATGTTTTTCATCGTAGAAGGTACCGGATGAAGCCTATGATATTATTACATAAATTAATGAATTTATATCTTATTTGTACATCGTTTATACTTCACCTTCTACAAAATACATTTACATAATAATATATAATAAGACGCGACGCACTTAACCACTACTGTTTTGTCAAAATTACGGGAGCTCTGCTGAATAGATATTTGTATACATTATTATGATAACAATATGCGTTTTATATTATATACGTCATACTACAGTCGAACTTCATTAACTCGAAATCGTCGATGCCTAGAACTTTTTCCCCCGGTCCCTAGAATTTTTGAGTATTATCACTGGATAATTATTCGAGTTCGTGAATAACTCGAACTTTCTGGTCGGCTCCTTCAACTTCGAGTTAACCACGTTCGACTGTATTATTATGTTATGTAAACTTCGTGTATAGTATTAATAAACCGCCGCTTTGGTGGCCGACGACGGTATATACGCTGTAGGCTGTAGAGTACCTAATAACATTATTGAACTTTTTAATCGGCACATTACAATATTATATATTATATTATATTATTGTCTATTGTTTATGTAAACATTTCGATGTCTATTTGTTAAACTTGAGTGATTGTTAAAACGTACGTTTCATTCCCCTCCCCATTTTTATTCTATACGTAATATTATATAGTATATATACATATAATACAATATATAATGATAAAAAAAAATATAAATAGTTGTTTTTATTTGTACACTTGCTTTAATATACCTATCCACTACTAATATAATATTGTCGTTATTGTCGTGTATTTTTTTTATACGCTCGCATAAAAAATACGGTGTACGTACCGAGCACGGCTATATATTATTATGTATATATATAGGTAGTTGTGACGGGACGCGCGCACGTTATTATTTAAATGAAAACGGCAACCCTCGGGTGGCGATTGGAGTGTAAAGGAAACCCGAGACTGACGTGTCGTATAATTAAAAGACGATCCCAGAGGGAGGCGCAACGGTGGCGTTTGGCTAAGGTCAACGGTTGACATTTGGCGAGCCGTTTTTAAACGTCGCTTTTAAAGCGAATCGGAAACGGTCCCGGCCGGGGAATACCCGAGCGTTTGTTGTTATTATTATTACTGTGCCGCCTGCACCCGTACAACCCAAATCGGATTACCATGGGTTTTATTTATAGGGAAAACGATTTCATTTTTTTCGCGCCACCACTATCACGGTCGAATATATAATATGTACCACGTCGCGAAAAGAACTGCGCTCGCAGCAGATCCGAAGATCGTAGGTTTGATTATATAGTTTAAGACAGGGGCAGACTGGCTACTTTTGGTCCAGGGTGCAAAATTAATTAGGGGCCCATAAATTTATTTTAAACTCACTAAAATTAGGAAAGAGTTTTATATTAAAAAAAGAGTTAAATTTAAGAAAGGACCCGAAAATGGTAATCGGGGCACCTGTATTATAAATACCTGGCTTATAGCACCCTGCAGGGCCAGTCCACCCCTGGTTAAAGAAGCTATATTTTATAGAGCCCTAGTAAACTTGATGAGTGCCTAATAACCTTTTTGCCCCCCCTTGACAGAGTCGCCGGAATTCAGCGGTCGCGAAAAGTGTCCTCTAAAATCGAAATCGAAAATAAACCATAGAAAACGAATATCAACACAACGTCACCACAAATTCACGATACAGCCGTATAAACCGTATACTTTGTATGAGACTATAAATTGATAAATAATAATAACAAGTCACTTCCGGTGGCGGATCTAGGTATTTTTCATGGTGGGTTCTATATGCTGACAATAAACCTCGCCTTAGGTATACCTACTTATCTTCGTATAACATAACTTTGGGATAAAAGAAATTGAGACTTCTCAGACGTCGCACCCCGATGAGCGGCGAACTAAATGGACTTCGACGGGTGCATATGTGTAGAGGTTACGAATTGGTCATAACCGAAATAGAGGTATATTAACAAATCACGGCGGGAAGTCAAAGTTTTTTTTTACTATTGGGATATTGGACTTATGACGTGTTGCATGCAGTTTACCACAGTATACCAAGGTATTACAATTTACAACAATCTATATATAAAGCCAGATTCACAGCTACCCAGCTGCGATTGCCAGTGTGTCGTGTCGTGTCGATCAAATCGTATTGTGATTCTACATTACTTTTTTGGTATCATGTGATAACCGAGTTGCAATCGAGTATACCAAGGATTGACCATACATCTCAACTTTTAAATCAATATGGTTACCAGTTGTAACCATAATAACCACTCCCTCGGACGACACGACACACAATGTAGTTGTGAGTCCGGCGCTCAACTCCACCATGAGCAAATACTAAATGGCCAATACTAAAGGTACCTATAGCTTTTACCATTATATTTACTCCTAACACACTGCAGTACGTGTATGATGAATGTTCACGTTCGCCCTGAAAACACGTTTCGTATTGGTTTACGTTGGTATACGAGTTTGGGATTAAATGGTTATAAGTACTTATAACTTATAATCTATATTCTTTATCCAACGATGACCGATATTATTCCGGATACAGCTTTATTTGTTGTCAACTCCATACGATCTTGTATAACCCGTCCTGTTCGTCTTGGCACTCGACCACCGTTTTACGGCATATTTTTAAAAAGGCTTTTTTGAAAAATCTGCAGTGGTCCGAAAATCATATTTTTCTAAATATATTACTGGGATTTTTATTTTTTAAATCGTAACAGTTGTCGATAGCCCAAACGAACTGGATTATAGTGATGCATAAATCGTTTGACTATATATATATAGTTGTCTAAATCCAACAACACGCGGTACGTGGTTGATCGTGTGGTACGAACGCCGGAACACATGTAAACACACTGGTGTACCAAAAACTTACCATGGTTACCAACGAACCACGCAGCAAAAGGTTTTTATGCAGTTATACACGTCAACGTTCAGTGCAGTGAAAACCTACCTTAACTATTAAAATATTATTATCATCGCCATGGTCTATATCACTCGTCATCGTCGTTATAAAAGTATAAGTGGTGTGTGTGTGTGTGTGTGTGTGTGCGTGCGTTTGAGTGAGTGCGTGTGTGCGTGCATAAGGGTGCAGGGTAGATATTTTATATTGTTTTGTTTTCATGGCCTACATTATGTACTACCTATTATTATATATTATATTGTAATATATGCAAGCGGCACGAGCGAGCATATTATGACACGAGAGACAATACGCGCCGAGTCACAGAAGGACTACTGCTACTATGCCCAGTAATAATTAATGCCCAATCGTCGGCGGCACGGTGTGCGGGGGGGGGGAGGGGGAGTGCGGCTCTCGCGTGTACCTAAATATTTGTACATTATATTCGTCGGGTTCGATCCAATCGTACGCTATACACACCGTATAATATTATATTGTTGTGTACACGGCGGAAAACGCAAACACGGCAGCGACGACGCAATGTACGCAACCATTGTAATTATTATTATCGTCTGTGCAAGTTTAATCGTGCTCGCGAGACCGGTGAATAATTTATGTGGCTCGCGAGCACGGACCGGGCGGCGATGACGGCGGCCTCGCGGGCGACGCGATCATTCCGACTATGTATAGCTGCAGAGTATTCGCACACCCGGCAGAGTATAAAATATAATATAACAGTAATAATAATACGAATAATATTATATTATTATATAATATGTAGGTATATAGAGGGCCCGCGGCACGACCGTATCTCTATTGTTATCGGGTTATTTTCTATTTTTTTTTCTCTCCGTTTTTATCCCCATCTCGTCCAGCGCCGATCATCCCCAACGCGTACTTTATTTACATTTTTTTTTACCCGACGAGCGGTGCAGCACTACAACATAGACTACAACAGTCATTTATAACTCATATTGTTATAATGGTACTATATTATATAATATGATGATACGATATTATTTATTACCTATAAGGTAGTAAGGTTTAGTATCTATAAGGTAGTCGATCCAATTAAGGTATAGTGCGTTTACACGACTTTTGACGTTATCCCATATCCATAATTTGATGTGCAAGAGTCTACCAATATAATATGTACGCATATAGGCGCAAATCGTAGGGGGCTAAGCCCACAAATATACAGTTTTTTAGTCATGTGGGGCTGATGTTCAAAATATTAGCCCCTCCAAAAATGTTAGTGGATTTGTGCATATGATTATAGTACATATTAATTTGTTATACTAGGATTTAACAAGAATGGGAGATGGATAAAAAAGATTCCGCTATGATTTTCTATCAAGTATTGTTTATAAATATGTAGTTTTTCCAATATTGTTAGTATAAAAATGTTCCATCTGCTATGAAGGACATAGGTACCTACATATATATTATAATGACCGCGTATAATTTTCCACCATTATACGATTTATTCTTAAGCAAACAGAACTTTTTAAAAGGCCCTTAGGCGTGTTTGT